TATAATCCTAATTGTAAAATTAAGTTTACTCTCGGGTCTGACTGTCTGCCTGGACAGTAAAAATCTTGTGGGAGTGTGAGCATGTGCTAATGAGACAGCGTGAGCGAGCACCAGCAAACTGCACCGCACACAACAAGTTATAGATCTCTGACATTATAACGAGATGTGTCATTGTGAAACAGTGGCCGGATTGGAATTGGAATACGGAGAGCTGCTACCATCTAGAATAAATAATGGGAAACACTGATGTCGGAAATTATGTGAAAACCAAACAACTAAACAGACTAAAGAAGTGGTTTCTCACTGCTTTTGTCAGATGCAGCCCACCATGAATAGATGAACTAATCAATATTCCCTTTTATTTCAAAACCATCAATTCCTCCTAAAATAACCCAATCGACAGAAGCTGTAAAAACGACTTTCTACAACGACACTTGTTTGAGCAACAGCTATCACATACCTCCGGCGCCCCGGTGTCTGGCGTCATCTCTTGTGATGTCTGGTTACACTCGAGAACGCTTTGTTCTGTTGGACACAAACACATCATCTAAAATTAATAAACTAACAAATATCATTTTCATGCTCTGATGTTAATCAGATAAATTCAGCTTCAGGTCCTCTTTGTGTAATCAAACTAAAACTAGACCGTGGTCACAAAAACAATCACACTGCCATTTTAACTCATATTCAATATTTAGGTAGTTTATAGGATAGACAGCAGCGCCATGACACATCTGTTTCCTCAAGGAGTGATGATTAATAAGAAGCAATAATTATGAGTAATAATGAGGAGTCATCTTCTACTCCTTACTACAAGGTAAAACAACTGCTATATATTGATCATTTCCATGAAACACATCAGTTCAGTTTTGAACAAATGAGAATTTCCTGTTTTTCCTTTTCAGATCAGATGATTATCAAGACGCTGAGAAATAACCTCAGATGTTTGAATTTCCTCCTTTCTTCATTACTTCAGTTAAATTATTTTTTTCACAAACATCAATGTTCATTTTAATCTGCAGCTGCTGCTCTCACAGGAGCGAGGTTTTGATGAACCAGTTTCATCACCTTCACACATCTTACTTTTGTCTCTCACACACTCAGTGCACAAACAGACACACACTCACATCTTAATGTGCCATGGATGGATCATCTGGGGGAAAAAAAAAATCAGCAGCCTAAAAGCGGCGCTACTGCCCCCCAGAGGCCTTGAAGCTCCTCACACAAACAACTGACAGACTTGTAAAAGGCCTGTTTGTGACTAACAAGGTTAAAAGTACAGTTACCTTGTGCTCTGTACATCTCATGGAAAAGTTCTCTTCATTGAGGGCGCAGCCTAAAGACACACAGAATGATACATTAATAATGAGATTGACGGCCTTCATTTCGCCTGAAAACACACATACACACAAAAAGAAATAACCTCAAAGGTTCGGTATTTCGAGCTGAGTGAGAACGCCAACCTCCCCACACACATAACAAACACAAGTGACTCAAGCTTTCAGGGCTTTAAACATTTTCACAGCCTCAGTCGATGCAGGTGGGCAAAGATTTAAACAGCTGGAAGGACAAAATATAATAATACACCTATTATATCTTTTCTTCACAGTCCCCATCTACATTGGTAATTTCTTAACTGGGGCTGGGTATCACCACTGATTTCTCAAATCAATTTGATTCCGATTCAGAAGATTTCACTGATAATAATATAAAAACTCTGAGGTAAAGTCAGTGTCTGTTATTATGGCATTCATAACTTGCTCTAAATAAATGTTATTGACAGACACACCCAACCACACTCTGGAGCCGTGAGCAGAAAACACATTTAAAGTTTTAATTTCATCCTAATATTAACTATGAACATTTGAATTTGATCAATTCTCCTTATTGATCGAACAACAATGTCTTTATTCTTTTAAACATTAACTGAAAACATATAATACAAATGTATAATCCAGCAGACATAATGATAAATCTTAAATAATAGAAACAGATAAAGTAAACTGACTTCTGCTATTTCAGTATTCTGACAAACATGACTTACACATTATCCACACAGTCAACAAATACACACATCGTCCAGAGGTAGTAACAAGAAGCAGACACAGCAAATGCGAAAAGGACGATACACTTGAATCAAAATATTTCAAGAAGAAAATAAGGTTTTTACATAATTTGAATTCTGAATGTTGAGTCAAAACTGCCCAAAATATCAGCTGGTAACATCTTTGACCACAAGGTAAATGAAAAGAGACCTGGGAGGGTGATGAATTATTTGGCAAAGCAGATTTCGGACCTGCAGAGAACTGCACCCTCCTATTTTTTCAGCCAGGAAGACAATTACGTGTATGGAATCCTCATTGTTGAGTCAAAACAGCCCAAAATATTAAGAGGGAGGTGGAGTTTACATACTAGTGCACTCACTTTAACTAATAAACACCAACACTCATCACAGTGCATGAAGTTTACTTAGTGTTTGATTGATTTGCTCGAAGGTTTATGAGGCTGCAAACATATCGAATGTTATTTGTATAGCCCATATTCACAGATCACAATGAGTCATCCTGATCGAGACGCACAGCCAGGACGTCAGTGTTAAAGTGACATGTGATTATCAGTTTATGTGAGTGATTAGAAAACAGCAGAGGGGCAGAGCCATTCAAACATCTGTGCAACATCTGTATACATTTGTATGCTTGAGAAATAATTACAACAAAGAGACATCAATGTTTTAAATAACTGGTGATACGTAAGACTTTAAACGTCTTTAATTTCAGATTCTTGAATGTGAGACTTTTTTAAAAAGGGTTAGGTTATTATTATGAGCAGTAGCAGTTTAGCGAGGAAGCCACCATGTAAGATGAGCAGTGCAGTGTGTTGCATTTAGGAACTAATGAGCAGAACTGAAGTTTATGAAAACAGGTTATTTCGGATTTTCGGTTCCCATCAATCATTCTGACATAAACGTTGTTATCAGACTTTCCTTGAAAGAGATCACTTGCTCTCAAAGGCGTATGCTTGCATGAATAAAGGTTTGTTAGAGTGAATGAATGCTGTACCTGACTGAATGGCACATCTGTAGTGATAGTTTCTGGGACAGCCCTTCTGGAAACAGCCCATTATTGCACCTGTTTGTTGGCAGGTTGAACAAACCTGAGATAGAGAAAAGACCAAGTGAGAAATAAAGCAAACACAGTGTCTGTTCTTTATGATTTATTTTTACAGTGTTGGGTCACTGAAACGATTTTTAATCCTGATAGACACTCAAGATTCAAACTTAAAATTATTATTATTATTATTTCTTTCTACTTAAGCATGTCCTTGTAATTAGGATTATCTCATTTAAAAAAAGTTGATGGGTATTAACATTTATTTACTAAAAACTATAATATTTGAGCAGAAATTGCAAATATCACTTTAATTAACTATTAAATTGACCACAAAAGCAAACGTGTAACTCACTGCTTCCTGTGCGAGCCGGGCAGCCTCCTCTAACCCGTAGAGCTTTCCTCTAACGAGGAAGACGCTGGCGGACCAGATGCCGCAGTCCTCGTGGATCCAGCACTCATCCATATGAAGAGGCAACTTTGGGACAGAGTCATTGTCCCCGTCGAGCGAACATCTGACGGCAGGAGAGCAGTTGCGACCATCGCAACCGCTGTCTGAGGAGTTTATTGAAAGGCTATTAGCGAGTCCATGGGAGTCTTCCTCTTTCTGCTCAGTCCTGCAGCTCTGGCCGTCCAGAGAAGAAATGGTGGGATAGTACGGGCCGTGAAGGTCCCCGAGCCCCATGGCGTTGGCTGTCTGACCACAGAGGCTGCATGACAGTGTGGCCTGACACCTGCTCTCCATGCCAAGCCGACCCAGCTGGAAACAGGAAGTACTGGGAACAAATCCAGACAGAGACATGGTGGCTGTCCGCTGCTGTCCTCCACGGCTGCTCCGCACAGTCGCCTCATCTTCTTGAAAGTTGACAACCGTGCACATTCTGTGCTCCATGTGAACGAAGGGATAAAACCCGTCAGATTTCTTGTCCTTTTTCTCTCCTTTGAGTTTTGCATATTTAAGCATGATTTCTGGCTCTCTGGGAGAAAACAGAGCAGAGGGTCCAGTCTGAGTTCGTCTTTTTCTCTTTCGTCTGGTGACAGTTTTTTTGTTTCCTGACACGCTCCTGCAGGATGAGCTCTTTTGGTCATGCGGTGGCGAGTTTCTGAGTTTCTGCGTCGGTTTTGTTCTACTTAACTTTTTTGTTTTGTGAGTGGCGAGTGGCTTCTTTTGCTTGAAGCATTTTGCGTTCAAAGCTTTGCGGTGAGGCTGCGGCGCCCTCGGAGGTGATTTCCTCTCTGTCTGAGCTCCCACATCAGACTCGTCTGAATTACTGCTGACTCTTTGTGAAACATTTGGCTGTGACACCGAGTCGTCTGCCTCTGGGCTTGACGACCTCGCCGCGAACTCCATCATATCATCTGAATCACAACTTTCATTGTAAATACCCACTGCGTCGTTTTTGGCCTGTCTCCTTAAACTGTGCCGAGACACACCATAAGTGAACTGTGGCGTGTCGGACAAAGATTTTCTGATCCTGTTGCTACGTCGTACTTCCTTAGGTAGAGTCTTGTCCCCCTCACTCTGAGGTGGAGTTTGTCTCCCCAAGCTCTTCTTACAAGAGATGTTTTTCTTGTAAGGAAAGTTGAGGCTTTTTTTCTTGTCATTCGTGACTGAAACTTCGATAACGTCGCTGTCATCACTAGTATTATCAACAGGAGATTCAGCAGGGTTGCCGTAGACGGCACTGAGGTCTGACAGGAGGACGACGGGCCTGGTGTGATGAACAGGAATGTCGACTGAGCTGTCTGAGGAGTCTTCTGAGTATGAGCTGTCGGGACTTGGTGAACTCAAAGGCTGAGGTAGGTGATAGCAACCTCTCCCTTCATCCAGTGAGGACACAGCCGGGGACAGAGGCTCCACAATGTGCCTTACACCATCTTGGATGAAGGGACTGCATAAGAGTGGCTCTTTTGCAGAGGAGACGAGGAAAATAACATCAGAGCCGCTGTCGCTCTCCTCTCCACCACTGCTTTCTGGAACTTGGCCGCCGCTCTGGTCGGGCTCGTAAAAACCTGGATGCCACAGGTTGCCGTGAACTCTGTCGTGGTACAGATTGAGCCCTGGAGCGAGGGTCGAATTCATGTAGTTACCTAAAGCCTCAGAGCCCTGCTCCATGTCTCTGCAGTGGACGGGTGCTCCTGACTGCGTGGAGAGAGAATTAAAGGATGAAGAAGCTCTGGATCTGTACGAGGAGGTGATGTCTGCGCTGCAGCTCGGCGGGCGTCGGTGGTACCACTCGGGCTTCTTCGCCAGGTCAATGGCTTCAGTGTGGCTGTGGGTCAGGGGCTTGTAGCTCTTTGACAGGTCCATTGCCATGAGAGATGGATCCTGTGAGGACACTTCCATCACTGCAAAACAAATATTAACATTATCTTGATGTCCCTTTCCATGATGTTTTCTTAGAGATGGTTTATGAGAGATTAGGTCCCTGGAGATTATTTTTCCACTAAATCATATTTTCTATAATCACTGATCATTTTACCTTTTTAAAGCTGTCACCATGACAGCAACATCTTTGCTAGATATGTAATGATTTGTTGATAGAGAAAATCTACTTAGGTTTGTTAGTCACTTCAATCCTGATTTCAATTTGCTGCTTACCCTTTTCATATATGATAGTAGGATATATCACTGAGTTTCACTCTTTTGATTGGACAAGAATGAACTTGAATCACCATGAATAACTTGCCTTATACGATTAAATTGTTTCATTTAATAACTAT